GTCTCGCTTCATCTGCCGCATCTCGTCTTACCAGTAGCGAGAGTCAAAGGCGATGCATGTCAGACGTACTTCTTGCTCAATGTGGTTCGAAAGGCGAATCCAGCGAGTTGAAGTCGCGGTATTGCATAAGCTCAAGGACGTCTTGGTTACCTGCGGCAGAAACCCTTGGACAGCGATAAGGCAGAGCACGTGACCAGATACAATGCGCCCAAGTTGAAGTCTCAGCAGTAAAAGCGTAGGCGCGAGAAGAGTGCAGGGTTGAGTAAAAGCGATACCTGACGCGAGCCGCATAGAGTCCACCCATCGCTCCTTCCTCGCGCGGGTGACAGTGGCGATGCGGGGTTTGCATTGTCTGGGTGTGACGGACAGGCTGAATGAGGGTAAGGAATGCGACAACAGATATGCTGTGGCGCAGTATGTCCAACGTGCCACACTGTATACGTGGACGCGGATGATTCACTTGCTGTGCACTGGATGTGAGTTGGTAAGTGGCGGTTAGTGAGTGAAGAGGAGGTGAAGTCTTTCCGCGTTGGCTTGGCGTGAGCGGGACGCGTGGTAGTAGATCAATGGCTCTTGCGACAGCGACGACTGGAAGGCCGTGCAGTAAGTGAATGCATCCCGTGACATGTGGCGATGTTGTGAATCCGTGTCGTGTCGTGTTCTTGATCAAGGTGTCGCCAAGGGCGGACGCGTCGGGTGGCAGACACAGCCACAGGCAATGACATAATCCCCGCCTCGGCCGCCCGCCATGCTTCCTGCCCATCGCCATCGGCAGCGCAGGCATAAGCAACGCAGCCGCGCTCTTTCCGCAACGCCCTCTACCTCATACTCTCCCCCCATACGCGCGCCAAGATGGGTTTCAGTCTCAACAACCCGCTGCCCTCGTCCATGAGCAGTAAGTCGAGTCACATGCCGCCCGCTTTGTTTATGCGCGGCTCGCGGTCCGGTGACGTCGCTAACAGCTGTGCTCTCAGGCGAATGTCGCAAGACGGGAAAGATTCTAGCATCCTTTGTCGACCCCAGACAGGCCTTTGGGCCCGATAAGATTATCCCGCCCAATGTCCTCGCCAATGCAAAGGTAAGCACTCGATGCGCATCCGGTGTCACGAAGCTGCCCAAGCAAACACCACAGCAGACAACAACACATGATGAGATGCTGACACACCCCAGGGCCTCGCAATCCTCACAGTCTTCAAGGCCGGCTTCCTCGGCACAGCGCGATTCGGATCGGGCGTCGTCGTCGCCCGTCTAGCGGACGGATCGTGGTCGGCTCCCACGGCCATCGGAACCATCGGCGGCGGCTTCGGCGGACAGATTGGCTTTGAGCTCACCGACTTCGTCTTCATCCTCAACGACGCATCCGCCGTCCGTACATTTGCGCAGGCCGGCTCGCTGACATTGGGCGGCAATGTCTCCATCGCGGCGGGGCCCGTTGGTCGCAATGCCGAGGCTGCCGGCGCGGCGAGTTTGAAGGGCGTGGCTGGTATTTTCAGCTACAGCAAGACAAAGGGACTGTTCGCCGGTGTCAGTTTGGAGGGCAGCGGCATAATCGAGCGAAGAGATGCCAACGAGAAGCTGTACGGCCGCCGATGGACTGCCCGCGAGATCCTCAGCGGACAGGTTCCCCCACCACCAGCCGCCGCGCCACTCCTGCAAGTGCTCAACTCGAGAGTCTTTGCCGGTGTGGGAGGCGCGCAGAACGTTACCAACGACGCCATGTACAACGACATCCCCGTCTACGACAACTCGCGCGACAACGTGGTATGGCAGGGCCGCGAGGGCTCGGCCATGGGCGAAGGCGTGCGCCGTGACCGCACCGGCTCCATGGGCCAGGCACCCAATGACTACGAGTACCGAGACCGACCGCAGCACTCATCCACGTGGGCAGACGACGTATACGACCGACAGCCATCCTCGGCACCAGGCGGCCTCAACCGCTCGTTCTCCACACGTGCGAACCCCACCGAGACATTCGACCGCATGGACAACCGGAGCCGTTCTTCCACTTTCGGCGACGACTACTCGTACAGCGACCGCAAGCCTGGCCGACCAACGGCGCCAAAACCAGTATTCGGACAGACAACCGGGCAGAAGAAGGCAGGACTGCAATCCGACCAGGCAATTGCCAAATTCACCTTTGACGCAGATCAGCCGGGCGATCTCGGCTTTAAGAAGGGCGAGATCATCACAATCCTGAAGAGGACGGACAACGAGACCGACTGGTGGACAGGCAGAGTCGGAAGCCGAGAGGGCATCTTCCCAAGGTAAGTCGCACAGGCCATGCCATCATAAACACTTCGCTGACTGCCACAGCAACTACGTCGAGACCGTATAAAGTCGTTCCTGAGATACCACAACCCGACCACGTAGACTGTCACACCTCGTTTCATTTCTAGTCTAGCGACATTCTTCACCTCCTTTTCGAGCGGTCGGCATTTAGCACCTTGCTTGCTTTCGCATGGCCTGGCGTTTCTTCTCTGAGTCCGTTATCAGTTCTCCTTGTTGCCTCTATCCCAGATACCTACGTAGCGAAAGAAGTCGTTGAATCACGAGATACAGTAAGGTTCATTGTCATGTGTGGAGTACGGACGAGAACCATTTGGAGTTACCCCGATTGCCGAGGTGGAGCTGGTCGGCTGAACATCGTATCTATGACCCAGCGATCGCTCCAACCCCCGCCTCAGGCTGCCCCTCATGTTCACCCTCCGCGGTATGCGCATCGGCAGGACAATACCCTGCATTAACCTACAGACATGTCGTGAAATGTGAAGCTACGCTAATGTGGAAGGTGCTTAGAACAAATGCTCGATAGCTACCCCACTTGGTCGTTGGGTAGCTTCGAAGCTATCAACGGCGTCAACCCTCAACGTCATTCCGCGGCTGCATATCTTAACTCCGGAACCGCTCTCATGCCCAACTTGCTGCGATACCTCCCCTCAAACACCAAATACTTGCCGATAACTGCCTTTGTCTCCTCTGTAATCAGCTCAAACCAAAATCATGACGACATCATCGTGGGAAGAGATCGCTAGTAAGAAGCGCGAAGCTATCTTAGCTGCCATACCCTCGGAATGGCGACTGGAGAAGTTGCCATCAGTAGAAGAACAGGTCGATGTCACAGACTATGTGAAGCAGTACTTCAGCAAGCAAGAGCTCGACATCACTGAAAGCAGCGCCGATGTGATCGCAAAGACCGTGGCTGAGGGAAAGTGGACTGCTGAAGAGGTCACGAGGGCATTCTGCCACAGAGCTGCAGTTGCGCATCAACTGGTACGTCGCACATCTGATACGTGCAGTGGATGATGCTAACCGATTAGCTATCATGTCTTCACGAAATCTTCTTCGATGCCGCCATCCGGGACGCAAAAGAGCTCGACGCATACTACGCAAAACACAAAAAGACCATCGGTCTCCTGCACGGCGTACCCATCTCACTCAAAGACCAGTTCCATGTCAAGGATGTCGAGACCAGTATGGGCTACGTCGGCTGGATTGGCACCTTCGAAGGCAAGAAGGGTACTGGCAAAGAGAAGGTGTTCGAGAGTGAGATGGTGAAGATGCTGCGCAAGGCGGGAGCTGTGTTGTACTGCAAGACCAGTGTGCCGCATACGCTGATGAGCGGAGAGACGATCAACAACATCATCGGGTTTACGCTTAACCCGAAGAATAGGAATCTTACGGCTGGTGGTAGCTCCGGCGGCGAGGGCGCGTTGATTGGTATGAGAGGATGTAAGTGGACTACCGTCTGAGTTATGGCAATCGCCATGAGCGTTCGCGTTCAAGACGAAGAGACTGTGGGTCGCTGACATTGCACAGCGCCATTAGGATTCGGTACTGACATCGGCGGCTCCATCCGCATCCCCGCCGCCTTCAACGGCCTCTACGGCATCCGCCCCTCCACAGGCCGCCTCCCCTACGAAGGCATGGCAAACTCCATGGACGGCCAAAACACCGTCCTCTCCGTCGTCGGACCCCTCGCCACAAACGCAGCCTCCCTGCGCCTCGCCTGTCAAGCCCTGCTCGAGCAAAACCCCTGGCTCCACGACCCCCTCGTCCACGAAATCCCATGGCGCCCGGGCCAAGAAGCCGAGATCAAGTCCGCAAAGAAACTCTCCTTCGGTTTGTTAATGACAGATGGTGTTGTGAATCCCACGCCCCCCGTCCGCCGCGCTATTGAGACAGTTGTGGAAGCCCTGCGTTCTGCTGGTCATGAAGTCATAGACTGGCAACCCCCCTCCCACCGTACCATCAACGACGTCGGCTTCCGCCCCTGGATCTACGACGCGGGTAAAGACGTTAAATCCGCGTTTGCGCTTTCGGGCGAACCCATGGCGCCGCAAGTTACGTTTTACCAAGGTGTCGAGAAAGAGTTTTCGGCTACGGACATCGCGGCCACGAATGTGGAGTTGAGGGCGCTGAGGAAGGAGTACATGGAGTATTGGAATGGTACTGTGGATAAAACGAGTACGGGGAGGCCTGTTGACGCGGTGATTTGTCCGCTTGCGCCGTTTCCGGCGGCGAGGAGGGAGAGGTTTAGGTATTATGGGTATTCGACTTGGGTTAATGCTTTGGATTATACGAGTGTTGTTTTGCCGGTTACGACTGTGAATAAGGGCGTTGATGGGAGGGAGGTGGGGTATACGGCGCTGAGTGAGATGGATGGGGGTATTCAGGACGACTACGACCCCGAGATATATGACGGCGCGCATATTAGTGTGCAGCTTGTTGGACGGAGATTGCAGGAGGAGAAGATGATTGCTGTTGCGGAGGTTGTAGGTAGTGTGATCGGGAAGTAGACAGCGAAGGGCGCTGTGTTCGCAAGTCTGCATACACTCTCGCGACATGGTACTGTAGGAGAGCTGCTAGAACTGCTCGAGTGGATAGTGACATATACTAAGAAGACTATAGATCCGAAAGCAACATGGAAATAGTAAAACAGACGAACCCGGGAACTCCTCTCTACCAGTGTGTACCGAACAAAATCCGACATGCGTCTGGTACTATCTCAGCAGAGCCTTCTGACTGCTTACGGAATGGAAGCGCGTCGCAGGGTTCGCGAGGAGCGTGTCAAAGGGCGGGTCGTCCAGAACGTAGAGACGTCGCCCGACGCCAGCGTCGCTACCGGGCACGGGAAACGAAAGATCCACGAAGCCACCGGTAGAAACGAAACGCTTCGAGTCCCATACGATGGACTTTACCATCACAGTATCGGAGCGGGTAGTGAGTCCAAGACGACCAACGACCTTAGAAGAGATGAAGTTGTCGTAGACTTGTCGCGGAGAGATGACACAGATGGCGTCAGGTTCCTCGGTCAATTTAGATATGACTGGAACCTTCCGCATCGCTTTCAGCAACGGTTTGATCTCTGCCCGAGATACCTTGCGCATTGTCAGTGAAGGCATACCCGCGATCGGTGTGTTGGCTCACAATGTTGACACGGTTGGGACGCCCTGTCGCTTCTGAAAAACGAGCCTGTCTTGACGCTGAAATGGGTAACGCACCACCTGACGCTATGCTCGCCATAGCCTTTGCGAAATCGCCATGACATGAGAAGACAGCGTACTTTCTGGCCCTTCGTCAGTGAGTCCCACACATGTGGCATGAGAGGCACTCACATGTAATAGCTGTTGACCTTATCTGCGACGTGTCCGTTGATTTGCAGCGTATTGTCGAAGGCCTTGTTCCCGATAACTGCTGACTGATGCGTCACTCGCTTTGCGCCTTTACCACTCTCCAACACAGACATCGCTGATTTATCTTCGCCTTTGGAGTCGCGAATGGTACGGCCGACATCACTTCTGTAGAAGCTGCTCATAATTCGAAGACAAAGTGCAGAGCAGAAAGGAAGAGAGCAAAACGACGGGCTCAGCTGGGGGCGACCAGCTTTGCGAATCCCGGGGGCGCATCCGGTTCATGTCCGCAACGAACGCGGGATGTGGCAATTCAAGAAACCCTACAGGTCGCCCAACACGCATGCGCGTAATCGCGGGGATACGCTGTCACGTGTGGGTGGTCTCGCCGTCCAGATGATTTGCCGCGTCGCTACCGGTCAATTGAGACGGGCATAGCGCGTAACAGGCACGAGCGACGCCCCTGCCACTTCCGGTCGCGTTGATGATGCGCAAGCTGGAGATCTGCCCCACTTCATCTTTCCAACGTGCAGCAGCGCCCATGCGAACGTCTTGATGTACAACTAACGTCGCAGGTACACGGAAACGAAGCTCCACAATACCATCCACATCGCGCGCTTTTTGCGCACCATGACTTCCAAGTAGAGCGTTGCATTTGCCAAGCGCCTGCCCTAGCGCTACCTGGCGCATGTCGAAGTTGCGGGCGCCTACAAGGCTGATTGCGACGGAATCGCCTCGGTTCGCGCACGATGGGTAACACCTACGACTTAGTGCAACAGCTTCTCAAGGACCACCCTTCTAAGGCGGCCGAGCTCCTGATGATCTATCTTCAAGACGAAGTAATATGCGCAGCGACCGAGCGTTATATAGGGCAGCACCCACCGCAACGAATTTCCAACGCGCCATCTGGACAGCAGTACGAATCCCCAACGTTACGCGGACATCATCGCAACTCCTCTCTACAACAAGCGTCGGTACGACACGATGCTCAAAGTGCCAGACATAGCATGCAAACCCCTCCCACCAGCGCGGGCTCGGTCAAGTCGCACACTTCCGGTCTCGCGGCCGCCGGCATGGAAAAGATATCTTTCCTCTCGTGCGACGATGATGGCGCGGATCAACCAGTCATAGCAAGACGTGCGCCAGGGAGGTACAACCTGATTGGCGATGGAGTGGCGTACGGACGCGGCCTTAGTACCGGGCAATTCGAGGTGGACGAGTCAATACTAGTGCACACATCTTCTGGAGCGGCGAAGTGGGTGGCTGTCAAGGCCGCCGTGAACCTGACATGGCGCCGTCGCAATGAATTCAAGACAAATATGGACACGTTCTACGTCGTGTCAGCAAGGCTGCTCGATAGCGATGTCGTTCTGGGATCTGAGGAGTCCATGGAGCGCCAATTCCCCTCAGGTCAGTCCCACACATTCCGATCAGTGTCGGCACAACCAGGCTGATTTGTCTGTCGCGACAGCAGACGTTCAAGAAGCGCATTCTCCGCAAGATCGCTACCCATCGGGCTTTGTCCGCGAATTTGATCAAGCAGTTCCGCCGCCAGCGCCGACTGCGCCGATGCATCCATACCAACCCTCGTATCAGTCACCGCCTCCCGACGTGCAACGAGCATTCGGGCGCGTGGGTGCAATGCAAGATGTACAACGCGTGCGACAGTCAGGTCCACCCACCCAAGCTGCACCATCAGCGCCCGCGAACTACAGTCAGCAGAGAGATGCCTCCATGCCCATTGCAAGTCAAGACGATCCGAGCGACGAGCTCGAAATTGAAGGTTACTGGGGCAGAATGCCGATCAGCATGTCAGTCGATATCAGCGGTTCGGGAGAGCAGTTCTTCCAAGCCTTTCAATGTATGGCCATAGACCGGAAGCGCGGTGATAACTTGGACAGGCAGAGACTGGCAATATTGTTGAGAGCGGACGAGGAAGGCCCCGAGGAAGAAGCCTACCGCGTTAGTCTTGATCAAGGTGCACTGGAGAAGCGCTGGAAGCTGGTCGTGAGATGGATTCGAAAGAACAAGAACTCGGAAGAACCGCATCTGTATGCGACGGTCGAGATTGCGGACGGGTGATGAATTTCATGTCGCGCAGTTCTGCCAGACATCGTCAGGCCACCAGATCCACAGGCACAGAGCGGATCGGCTCAAGACAGATTACCACAATGCGCACGTCAGCGTTATTGCGCGCGGCGAGCCAGGCGCACGAAGTTTAGGCCATCGCGCGCAAGGCGACCAGTCTCAGAAAGCGCATCGCGACCAGAGCGAAGACCAGTTTAGAGAGTGCTGCTCTACACACTATTACTGCCCCACATCGCGCAAAAACGTATAAGAGTTCAGAACAAGGCGCACAAAAAGAGAGGTACGCGAAGAAGAGAATCGCAGAAGACAGCGCGTAAGAAAGATGTAGAACAAAGACGTAAGAAGAAAGTATAGAAGAAAAGAGTAGAAGAGAAGGTAAAGTGCGTAAAGGTTAGCGTGTATAACGTATAGTAGTACTATTTGATATAGTATAGAATATATTATACTTTAGACTATAAGTATAAAAGTAAGTACTAACGTAGGTACATGCTCTGCAGTCTAGCATGCTTCGCGGTCTACTTATACTAAGACTTTACTAAAACTACCTCTACTCTTACTATAGTTAGAAACCTAAATAGAGTCTATTTAGGTTATATAGTCTATACGCGGATCTCTATACCTAACTCTATTTAAGATTTACTTAAATAGAGTATTTTTAGTAGAAAGTTCTAGATCTAGTAGACTTAGAAGTATCTACTACTAGATTTATCTACTATTATTATACTTATAAATCTTATAGACCTACTTATATTACTAAAAATACCTCTTACTATATAGTACTTATAAGTCTATAAGACCTAACCAATATAAGGCGACGGATTATGCACAATCCGCGCCCGATTTGGTATCGCGTTAGGGTTCGCTAACTAAGAAAGGAAATCTAGAGGGCATAATCCGTGCGCATAATCCGCGGGCTTTAACAG